AATAATAATAATAATTATTATTATTATTATTATTATTATTATTATTATTATTATTGTTATTATTATTATTATTATTATTATTATTATTATTATTATTATTATTATTATTATTATTATTATTGTCGTCTTATATAGCGCATATTGTAGACTAACCTCTATACGCTTTACATACAAAAACAAGCAGAGCAGCAATGGAAATTGAACCGGGGAGCAAGAGATCTTCTTGGTTCAGCGCGCACACGGTGGCTACCAATTCAAAAGATTATCGAAAAATCACATAGATGAATACAATATTGAAAAGGGCACTAAAAGAAATAAAATAGTACTGTCCACACTGGCTAACAATCGCTGCGATTGTAGAAGTCTTGTTGATTGCGCTATGTCGCAAATAGAGAGAAGCACTATATAATTATAATTAAGAATAAATAAATTTTTATTATAGATAATGTCGTCAAATCACTGCAAATAATAATGTTGAGCCATGTTATTTTTAAAAATTTCTCTAAAGTGTACATATATATAAATACATATAGTATATATCTGTCTCTTATACACATCTAGATGTGTATAAGAGACAGGTACATAAGAAAGGCTTATTGTCATTTTAATATAGGCCTATGTTTAAGAGCCATAATAATAATAATACAGTATTTAAACTATTGTTGAAGACAAAGGCTTCTTTAACTATATAAACATATTTTAATTTTTGATAGTTTTTACAAACAATTATCCCCCACACTATACATACGTATAATATAATATATATGCATTCTCCAATCACAATATATCACATATATTTTTTATATATTCTTAATAGAGATGTTACTCAAATATTACAGTCCAGTGGAGTATTAAACTACATTATAATATCTTTTTACTCATCATTCATCAACACTGAGAACAATAACGGATTCAATGGTATTTGAGTACAGTACCGGTACTTACCTTTAGTAAGATAAGTACTGGTATCTTTAACTTTTATGAAATGCTGGGGTAGGTCAGTCTCTTTCATCATTTTAGTATTCTTGTATTTTAATGTTTTATTATTCATTGTGTTGTTATTATTATGTACATACTGGGTTCTCTGGGAGAACGGTAATATTTAATGAAGAGGCAACAGAGTATAAAGAACAAATGAATAAATATATAAATCAGGTTATATATTCTTTCTCCTTGATCAACTGTATACTTTCTGTTTAATTTGTGTAATGCATTTGTAAACAGCAATGCGTCGCGTCCTGTTATATTTGGGTTTTATATAATTATGCCCATTTACGAATTTAAGGGGCGGATCCAAAGTTTACAAGGGTGGGAAGGGGAGCCAAATTATCAGAAATTTGGAGAGCATGGCAACAGTGGCATAACGAAGGGGTTGGACGCTCTAATGCAACTTTTTTTTTTGTATTTGAATTGTTTTTCTTACTTTAATAAATGACACTGGTATGCATTGAAATGTTAAAATAGTGGTAAAACATAAGGTATGACTGTCCCTCTGCAATTGTCTGAAATTAAGAAAATACGAAGAGAACGTTGAATTCACAACAATGCAATAATGGAACTATACTTGGAATTCCCAATGAGGTCTTGGGCCGGATACCACATCCAAATTACACAAGCGAGTGAGAAAAACAAAGAAATTGTTCAACTTGTTAGTAAAATGCTGACCTGAACAGAATGTCTTAAATCGGATTAGGTTTACGTCCACGAGCGCTTTCTGTAGTGAGCACCTAATTTGCACTTGAAGCTTTACTTAGGACGATTCAACCTTGCTAGGGAAAATACCTCGCTAATGACGATGCGTTCAGGATAAGTAAAAGTAAATTCGATTATCATGAAAGTCTGATTTGGACGAATTAACCGCGCTTTCTAATTACGCAGACGATGTAGTAGTTATTCAGCGTAGTCCACTGAAAAATGGAAATATGCAGTCGGGCATAATTCAATTGCGGGACAATGTTCTGATGATTGCCGTAATGAAGTGGACGCTATTACCAGAAAAGACTTGTAAAATAAAGTTCTGTTCGAAATTCAAGTATAGAAGGCAAAACTCTGATTTATTCATAAAGATACTGGAAATTAAACAATAACTTCTTTCTCTATTTTCTTTAGGTCTATATATTGAAGCAAAATATTAAGAATTATTAAATATTAAGAATTATTAAGAAACATAGGCCTAAATATGATGCAAATCGAAGATATGATTAAATACGAAAAGAACGAAATCACATATTTGGGGACGGGATGCATTTATAGGAGACGCATAGCGAAAATTGAAAATGTATTTTTCAAAGAAATTCTACGTAAAATAAAAATAAAATCATGCCGTACATAATTATAAATAAATAAATAAATATATATATATATAATTATATATATACAATATGTACATGTACAATATGTAACATTAAAATGCACAGGGACGGGTTTGCAGGAATGCAAATCCTCGGACAGTAACGGGAAGGCTCCATCTGGCTAAATGCATTTTATAAATTTGCAAAGATTGTGTCTATCTTCCAGGAATTCTTGCGTTGAACAAATGTATTTGTTGTATTGTACGATTCTTGATTTGGTAAAAATTAAATGAATAACTGGTAAGGTGTATTGATCCCATAATCACCCATATTTTCATCTGTGCATTTCTTCTTCTTTTTTTTTTTTATTAATTGAAGTTTTTCATTAGTAATTTGTATGATTCTTCGATTTATCTGTTATTCTATTATAAGTGGGAAAATAATGTTTTTCAATATGTTTTTCGTTCTTGATATCATTAAGTTATGTCGGGCTTTCTGTGATTTAGGCTTAATATAATGTTAAGTTGAGCCTGCTCTTTACTGGAATCTCAATTTAGATTCTGAAATAAATACATCATCATCATCATCATCATCATCATCATAACTATCATCATTATCATTATCTTCACCATCACCGTGCGATATGGTACGGTACATTTTATAGGCATATAAGATAAACCTAGAAACAAGCCACATAGTGCAAT